CTCAGAAGGTCTCCCATCCAGGTACTAACCAGGCTCAGCCCTGCTTAGCTTTAATGGGCAACCAGTCTTGGGCTACAGGGTGATATGGCTGCTGGCAAACAAATCTCAAGAACATCTCCCAAATTTGGTCAAATTCAGAAGACTTCCCCTTTATCACATATACTGTATAAGCTCATATGTAAGGCCAAACTGGGTATCAAGTTTTTCAGCCAAAGTCCAAGGGAAGGACAACTTGTATTTTTCTAGCAAAAGGCAATTCAACGCCTGGCTGGCTTTTAGGCACAAATCAACCATTTTTTCTCTTTGACGGGCAGACAGCAATTGTCCACATAGACCCCCAATACATATTACCGGATTTAAAGAGATGAAGTAGTAAACTGAGATACATACAGAGTCACTTTGCTCCAAAACTTTTGTACCCCACCACATTCCCACACACAATGAAAAAAAATGTCCTTGGAAATTATTGCATTTGAAACCCAAGTCATGAATACTAGGGCTAGTTTTAGGTGTGATATAAGTTCTCATTATATTATAACAGTCTCAAACGAGAATTTATACTTTGTGCTTTTAGACATATTGTACCCCACTCATCTGATGAAATGTCTTTATTTAAATCCTGCATCCATGCTCATCTTTTATTTTCAGAATTTTCTTTATGATTCTGTATCAGTATATTATATAATTGTGTAATTCGCCCTTTACTGAAACAGTCTTGTGCGGAAAGTTTCCGCTGTGGATAATAAAAGGAGTTGCACAGAATTCTTTAGTTTTGAAATAATCAAACTTCTCAGCTGCTGAGCTGGGGTATATGAAACTCTGAAACCAGATTGCCAAATGACATTAAAATATTGTCTTCATGCAAGTCCATTAATCTAACTATTCCCTTATTCAACCATAGTTTAAACTCATATATGAATTAAAAATTCATTCACCCAGATCGGGGAGAAGCAAATGGGGCCTCTCCAAGAAATTTATAAACTCCGTACCACAATGGTATTTTTCACGAATAGATTGTCTGTTTTTCTTTTTAGTTCTTTAAGGGGTGCTGAATGTAAAAAGCTGTCAAGTGTCAAGCCTTTTGCAGCCAACATTTCAACCTGTAATCAAGACATATTCGTATCTCAAGGGAACCGGAACATTGCAGCCCTCATTTGAGCAGGCCAATAATACCACCATAAATGTGGTAATTGTATAAATTGTTTACAATAAAACTATACAAGTTGCATGTACAAAATACTATAATATTGTACAATTTCAATAGCATAATGATATACCGTTTACAGCAACATCGTGTCGGCCCAGATCAGGCCCACATCTGGTACACATGTGGCGCGTTTCCACTACATGGTACGGTTCGGTTCGGCATACGGTTCGGCGCGGCACGGTTTCCGTTATCGGTTTGCTTTTCCACTGCAGTTAGTACCACTTCAATGTGTCTGGTATTATAGATAGTTATAGTTTATCTGCTCCTCGGCAACCAACGAGAGGAACGTCTGCACTTCGTCCACTGCACTTCGGAAGTTGTTTTTGTTTCTTTTTTCTTCAAGCAAGTAGTTTTAAAACAGGTGCTACAACGGTGGCTGTTACTGGCTATTCAAATCTAGCGGTTTGATGTTTCGCAAAAAATGTGCCATGCAGCGGAAAAGCTCCACAAGTGAGCCGTACCGAGCCGAGTTGTACCGTACCATGCAGTGGAAATGTGCCAAAGCGTGCCGTACCGTACCATGCTGTACCGTACCATGTAGTGGAAAAGCACCATTGGATTCCACATGGCCCAGATGTGGGTCAGATCAGGGCTGACACTATGTTTCTGTCTGAGGCACCTAAATTGACTAAAAACATAAAGCAAAAACATCCAATGCGCATTCATCATTTTGGAGATGCTGAGTTAAAAAACCTTGATGAATTTTATGGAGAAAAGGTACTGGCATCTTGCTCTGACCAAAGTGATTTGAACATGCCTGACGTCTTAAAAACTCATAAAATACAAACATCCCTGCAGGAGGACTTGAATACACCATTATAAGTAAGCAAGTATATACTGCTCAAGTGTTGTAGATCATCTATTCTGTGCAGTATGCTAGTATGCTCATCCAAAGTCTTTTTTATTGTTAAAACCTCAAATACACCCCACTGATTTCCAGATGAAAGTCTCTGTGTCCTGTTGTAAATACTGTTCATGCCTTATGACCCACTGGGTGATAAATAACCTCCAAGGTTAACCAGGTTTAACGTTTGAAATGGAGCTGGGGGACTAGTATGGGCCCCCAGAGTTTTCTTGACATAACCAATATGTTATCAGGATGCTCTGCCTTGGTTGAGCACTTCTGATGGTACATGTTTTGTAAGACTGCATGGATACTTAAGTGTGTGTGTGAAACAAATGATGCTTTTAGAAGTTATTGAATCACATCTGCATCTGTGAGGTGTTTCAGTCATGGAAGGATGTGAATGTTACAAACACTTGTGGAAGATTATGGCATAAAAGCTGGTTTTGGGTGCACATGTTGAGTAATATTTGTTGAGAAGTTATTTTGCTTTCTTTGTCTTTTTTAATGTGATCCTGCGTTTTAGAAAAATTTTATAGAATAAAACTTAGTACTACAAATAATATAGCAATAAAAAAAAATAATTCATGAACTTGGTAATACTTACACTGCTTGTAAAAAATGACCACGGGCAATTTTGAGCCAATTAAAACCCCACCAGTTTTCTGGTTAACGTTGCATCAATGACTTAAAATATTGCATTTTGCCACTGATCAAGTTCGCAACGCAGCCTAGTAAGGGTTTTGAGATGATCCTGATGAAAAGCATCTCCTGAAAATAATCCAGCAGGCTGATTCCAAAAACATGATGTTGACTTTTGAATAATTCTTAAATAAGGACTAGACTAATTTTGATGAAAAGGACTTGTGTTTGTTATATTACAGTTAAAAATACCTGCTACTAAGGGTCTCATCATTGCCTGGCCAGATTTGTTCAAATAACGACACTGTTTTGTGATCTTTTGACAGCAACTAAGACACACTCTGACAACAATCGAACTTTCAAATAAGTGTCTGGCGCCATCTAGTGGTCATATTCACAACAGCTCAAATATGAATCAATAATTGGTTATTTTAATACGCAATTCATTCATTCATCCTGTCTCTTCAAACAGATTCACAACCCTTAGTAAGTTCTGTCATAAGAAAATGTCGACATGTCAAGTAGCTAGACTAATCTATCTCCCTTTCAGCTACAGTTCTAAGTCTGACTGCACCTGTGGTTTGCAGCGGCTCTGGTTAAAATGCAGCAAATGTTTATTAAAATATTTGACATTGCTATTAAAATTGCGGTAGCACACAGACTGCAGAAAAAAGGGCCCAGTGTTTTCGAAAAAAAGAGAGAAAAACAATGCAAGGTTAAATAAGTGTTACAACCTCCCCACCCCTGTCAGACAATGTTTAGCTAACTGTATTAGCATAGTGGTTTGAAATTAGCAGGGAGGAAATGCATCACATATTGCCTAAGAAACTACTATTTAATCTAAGTCATACAACTTTATCTGTAATATAGTCTTTGTCAAAAATGTTACTTTCTGTCCTCAAAATCAGTTTTCCCTCTATATATTCAACATTCAGCCTACCTGTTTCCAGTCTTGACAACCACCAAACATGATCGCGTAGGAAATAGCAAAATACTGAAGTGGTCACATGACTCCTATCTTATACCTAATTGGTGAAATTGATGGTGTTACAACCGGTCTCCCCGATATTCTGTATTTTTTTTTACATATTATTTAGCAGGCCTCCTTTTTGAAAGGTGCCCCATTGACAGCCTTTGGACCTTTTTTTTCTGAGAGTCCATTTCAAAAAAATGACATTATAGTTGTGTTAGGGTTGGTCTGTCAATAACTGATTCGGATCAAAACTTTTAAACTGACTGTACGTTTTCGTTTCGGTTGCTCAGGACTCACAGACACTGCATGAAATGTCATCACTGAGTCACATCTGTTTTTCTCCTTCACTGACAGAAAGCCTGACCTCAGAATCTGTGGCGGGAGAAGTTGCTAATTGGCTTTCCAGACTTTTCTTGATTGCACTATCTATCTGTCTGACGAAGAGACTACGTGCTCGAAACATTTCCACGTGCGTGTGTGTGTGCGCGTGTTTTACCAGTAAGATTTCCACTTTTTAAACCGTGGTGTGCCCACCTTTTTTGTTAATTTCCTTGTTGAGCACCTGATTTGAGCAACATATTGCTTCTAAGTGGATGTGCATGCTTTGATAACAATTGGTACCACTTTAAAAGTGTCTTTTACTGTATAAGTAACACAGCACCGAAACAGTATATGACAAACTAAGTAGCCTAGGCTATGTCTGAATTTACAGAACTCATAAAAGATTAGGCAAGTACCATCCATGGATGAACTCCTTCTTCAGGCAAAATTCTGAAGTGTAGGCTATGACGGACACTGTAGTATCCCATGACGCCACAGGACAGGATTTATAAATGACAGTGAAGCGACGCAACAGACGCTGCTAGGTCACATGATAATGACATGGCGAATGTAGTAAGTGTGGATTTCATTCATACTACACACATTCATACTATACAGAACATACTTTTTAGAGGTTGTAAAGTAATTATAATTATCTATTCAAAAATACTTACTAAAGGATGTATGCGATTTCAGACACATGCCTCATCTGAAGTATTGAAAATTGGGACATGGAAAAAAATATGATTTTTTTTTTTCTTAATAACAAAACAAAATGAATACAGAAAGAAGACGAGATGTATTCTTTCTGTATTCATTTAGTTTTGTTTTGATATAAAGTGATATATGATCTCTAAAATGTTTTGGTGAGATTAAACACCACATAATGAGTCTATAATTTATCTCGGTATGAAGTTCGGCAATGGTTACATATCATAATTTCAAAAGTTTAAAAAAATAAACCACCACACTTCTGGAATTTGGATATAAGAAAAATTTCGACATCAACAAACTCCCTTCGAGAATACACTTTATTATGACATTTAAAAAACAAGATATTGGAAAAGGGTTATACCACACAATGCAAAACAAACTAAACGATTTATACTTTTCCTATATCTTTCCTCCTTGAGTACAACTTTAAAAAGTCAGGGCCTTCGTTGACACGCCATAGCATTACTATTTACAAAAAAAGCCATGAAAAAGTGATATAAATAGGCTCACCAGCCAAAGACAACCATTGTGTCCTCTCTGTATTGAATCTTCATGAACTGTCAGTTTTGGTTGATCACATTAGGTCTAAATATTCAGGCCTGGAGGAGACGGCCGTTTGGTTAGAGTCTGTCAGCTGAGTAGTGTTCTCAGTTCTAGCACAATCCCTGAGGGCTGAACTCTCATTCTTTCTTCCTCAGGACAATGTAAATTAAGCCACTGATGAGCGTGAGAGGGAAGGCCAGCCAGGCCAGGACGAAAGCGTAACCGTACGTACTCATCTCTGAACTCATCTCCGGACTCATCACTGTGTAGATGATGGCCCCGCTCATCACGAACAGACCTTCGGGAGAGAGCGAAAGAGAGAGAGAGAGAGAATATAAACAAGTAGACGGGAGGTTCTTCCGCAGGGACAGGTGAAATGGGATGTAGACCTGGGAAGGAAATACTCACTGGCGAGGACCTGGAAGACGGCCGTGAAAAAGAAACGACCTCCCTTTACGAGAGTGAAGAGCTGGCAGAGAAAGATGATGAAGGAGATCAGGGAGAAAAGGGTGGCGAGGACCATGAGCGCCTGCACTGCTTGGAGCCAATCTGACAGATTGTAGAGAAACACAACAGACATAAACACTAAAGAAACATAGATCTGCCCACCCAGCACATTGGGATTTTATAGATTTTATAGTCTTTTACTTTTGTTACCTTAGTTGCTTTTTTCTAATTTACTAGTATTTTTATGTCATTTGGTTTCTCGTGGAAAAACACATTTCAATGAGTAACAAATATGGAATTTTTCAAAGTTTTTTTTAAAGGGACAGTTCACCCAAAAATGAAACCTGTATGAATTTAAAAACCCAAAAGAAGGTATTTTGAAACAGCCCTATTGACTTCCATAGTGTGGAAAAGTAGTGTGTGTCAGTAACTGTTTGGTTAATGACATTCTTCAAAACATCTTCTTTAGTTTTTGTGATGACAGAATTGTAATTTTTGTGCGAACTATTCCTGTCAATAATGCGATGAACAGTGTACCGTACAAAAATGTAAACAAACCATCTAGGTGTTCAAATAAAATGATTTTACATTCACCTGCATCACTGCACGAATGACCATTACTTTCTTTGCAGTTCCAGAGGTTATAACTTGCATCTCCATATTTTCTCCAGGCCTGTTTTAAAAAAATAAAATAAATAATAAATAATTAAAAACACACCCATATAATTATATCTACACATCGTTCATAAAATTCCACCTAAAAAATATGAACCACAATAATCCAAAAGCAAGTCAGACGACAAAAATGATACTCACATTAGCACATGTGGAAACGAAGAGAATGATAAGGTCTGCCAGATGCAAGAATAACGTTGCAAGCAGAATGGCCAGCATTTTGGGGGCTCTTCTAGAAGAACAGAAAAAAAAAATACACATTTTATAATGGGCAGCGTTTTACTCGTGCAGTTCCAAATCTGACCACCAGAATGCGCTGCCGTCAAACTCATCTAGAGCCCAAAACCCCTTCAGGTCTGTCTATTTTCTCTCTTTTTTTCTTTAACATTTAAATTGAAAACATCTGTTTTGTGGACACGTAACGTTAATAATTGTACTAATCACACTGCAGTGTTTGAAAAGCTATCTAAATGTCTATATTTATCAGAATAAAAACATCCCTAAAGTCACACATAGTATACAATCCAGTCACGTCACTTTTTTTCTCTCGAGGTGCCGCCTTTTTTTCGTCACGTCTAAACTGTTTATCGATGTTACTCAAGTTTTTTTCCCATCTGAAAAGTAAAGATTATGAGAGGCTGATAAAAATTTTACAAATACAATTATTATGGAGTAGCCTACGAATTGAAGCTGATTTCTGAAGCACACAATAAGCAAAGGAGGCAAAACATTCCTGCAGCGTTTGTTTTCATCCAGAAGTTATTGCAAAACTCCGCCAGCAACTGCGACTTCAGTGAAAACTCAAGATGTGCTCATTTCAGAATAAAACAGTTAAGACAAGCAATGCAAATTATATTAATACTATATAAAACAAACCTCTAAAAACACTATCGTACTAATATCCTACTCATAATAGCCTAATAAACTTTGAATGAAACAGCAAACTTCCCGTGAAAAAAAGACAAGAGGCTACAAACGATGCGCAAAGAGCTCTCCATATGGAAGATAATAATAAACACAAACGTGGTTGAATCTCCTGAAATGACGTAGTTAATATTCCATAAATGAACTAAAGAAAAAACTTAGTTATCCAACTTACAGGTGAAGGAGAGATTAAAAATCCGTTAAAAGCGAAAGAGAGCAGGAAGAAAACACTAGGTCGCGTTTACTATGTGATCCCACTATAGATTCTCAAAGCACGAGTCTCTGTATTCCAGATGTAGTACCACAGCAGGGTTTGCTTTTTTCCTCCTTTCTTTTTTTTTTCCTTTTTTTTTTTTTTTTTAAGAAACGTGAGAACACCGCCCTGGAGCGTTACTACGTCACACCTTTCTCTGTCTTTTCCCTCCCAAACTTCTCACTTTAAATTGTTAGATAGGAAAGAGCTGAATGTGCATTTATAAAGTATAAATAAAGCATTTTTTTCAAGAGCTTAAAAATGTTTTTTTTTTTCCCTGAATGATTCAAACTTAAACTTAAATATGTTGGTTGACTTAGGGGAAAGTTTACTCTTTAACAACACAATGCACAATGATATTGGTTTTTATCATGAATTCATTATGCAGTTGTATGCATGTCATAGAGTGCTTTTAAGTTTTACACATACAGCAAGATCAGCTTTGTCCGCCATTCTGAGCAATTTAGTGGCACAGAATGTCTCAATGTGCGAGTGTTATTAAAGTGTTTACTAGTGTGTGTGGAGCCCCATAGCATAGACCCCTCCCAGTGGCCCCACGGTATGCCCAGAATGTTGGCATGTGTCTGTTTACTCCTGCATCTGGACTGCATAGCAAATAGATTCCTTCATAGTCACTTTGAAGTCAAATACAAACAGCATTTCAACTTTTATTTCAACTTTTTCACACAGCACATTGGCGGGTCTCCTCGTAACTCTTCACAAATGCTTGTGTCTCTCAACACTGGACTTATAAACATGTTTTGGTGCTGCCAGCGTGACTATAAGGGTCCCCTTTTCTATCACGCCCTCATCAGGAGTCCCATGGCAGCAGCTGTGTTTGTAAATAGAGTGAAGGAGGCGTTCCCTGTGCCAGCCCTGTTTTTTTTTTTTTTTTTTTTTTCTCCGCTTAGGTTTTGAGTGTTGGACAGTTTGCTGTGGTTTGGCTCAGGAGTTCTGCTGTTCTGTGAGATGGATGGATTATTGGTCAGAGTAATGGGCTAGTGGCGGCAGGGCAATACGTTTACCCTGATCTCCCTGTTTGATGCAGGTCGTAGGGAGGGTAATAAATATACAGCCTTGACATACTGGCTGTCCGTTCACAGTCTGACATAGTGCTGGCAGTGGACCATTAAGACTTCACTTTGTACTTTAGGTTTTTATACTTGGTGCTCACCAAGAGTTTATTTTTAAAAAAATTTATTTACCACTAACACATACTGTATGAATAATTGGACAGACAACAGAAATCTAACAAATTACAAGTCAAATCAATTTACATATATTAGTGGGAAAGGTCACCTTTGTCAACCATTTTGAACACTGCAATTGTGTCTCACTCATCTCAATGAGTGTTTATAGTAGGAAAAAAAATAGATGGGAGGAAAAATTATTTCAATGCTTTTGCACTCTCCCGCAAATGTTTTGCGTTCCCCCAAGAAATTTTGCGCTCATGTGCAAAATCAAAATCTGCGCATGTTACATTTGCTTGCAAAATGTTTGCATAACCACGACAAAATTTGCATTCGCTCACAAAATGTTTACGTTCCCCCAAAAAACGTAGCGTTTGCTCGCAAAATATTTACATTCACACGGGAATATTTGTGTTCGCATACAAAATGTTTGCGTTCCCTTGAGAAACGTTGCGTTCGCTCACAAAATAATTTAGTTTGCACGAGAAATGTAGCGTTCGCGCACAAAATGTTTGCGTTCCCCCCAGAAATGAAGCGTTTGCTCGCAAAAAGTTTACGTTCTCAAGAGAAACTTTGCGTTCACACAAAAAATTGCATTCCCCAGAGAAACTGTTTATATTTCCCCGAGAAACGTAGTGTTCATTTGCAAAATGTTAGCGTTCCCACAAGAAACTTGCGTTCCCGAGAAACTTTGCGCTCGCCTGCAAAATGTTTCCGTTCCCCTGAGAAACGTAGCGTTTGCACACAAAATGTATGTTACCACGAGAAACGTAGTGTTCATTTGCAAAATGTTAGCGTTCCCAAGAAACTTTACCTTCACCTGCAAAATGTTTCTGTTCCCCTGAGAAACATAGCGTTCGTTCGCAAAATGTCTGTTATCACGAGAAACAGAACGTTTGCTCACAAAATGTTTGCATTCCCTCGAGAAATGAAGCGTTTGCTCGCAAAAAGTTTATGTTCTCAAGAGAAACTTTGCGTTCGCACACAAAAAATTGCGAGAAACGTAGTGTTCGTTTGCAAAATGTTTGCGTTCCCAAAAGAAACTTGCGTTCCTGAGAAACTTTGCGTTTGCCTGCAAAATGTTTCCATTCCCCCGAGAAACATAGCATTTGTTCGCAAAATGTTTGTGTTCGCAAAAGAAACTGTTTGCGTCCCCACAAGAAACGTAGCGTTCCCACACAAAATGTTTTTGTTCCCCTCGATAAACTTTGTGTTCGCTCGCAAAATACGCATTTGCATTCCTCTATATGTAAACATTTTATCCCGCCTTTTCCCTGTATTAGTGAGGAACCCCCTGGGGGTCCATGGGGGAACTGCAAGGAATTTGTGAGTTGATGAAAAGCTAATCATTTAAAAATAAATAAAATGCTTCAAAAATTACAGAATTTTAATGTGATCTCAGACTTTTTTTGATCCCAATGTAAATAGAAAGGTTTCCTCCCTGTGAATGTTAATTATGGCTCACATGTGCACAATGAATGATGCCAGAAATTTTATACGGATGTTTATAATATAGCTTGACAGGAAGAGCCATAGGCCATATGACTCCATCTTATTAAAACAACATCTATTTACTATAAGAAAATTCAATATTCTGACATAAACATTTCCTTGTGCCGAAGCAGTCAATGATGCCAAAGTGAGTCATGATTGAGACTGAGATGAGTGTATGGTTTAAATCAACTTGCTGTTTGAGTCAGAGAACTCATGGTCTGGCTTCATTTAGTTTATTGACCACTAAAACAGCAGAACGGATTGTCCTAGTGTCACAACCTGTATTTTAAGGCTAAAAGTATTTTAATGCTAAACTTTATTGCATAATGTGGTGGTTTTAACAAACTAGTTCGATTCGGATCCATTCCTGCTTTCACATTGTTGTTTTTGCTTTTAACTTCTGAGATATAGGAACTGTGTTCATTTCAACTGTTGGAAAATTGTTTTCACACCAACAAAGCTGACGCCAATCAAGTTCGAGTATGGAATCATCCCTTGTGAAAAAGAAGTAAATTTTATTGTATTGAAGGATATATTATTACGTATATTATCTTTTTCACATGGGTTACTCATAAGTATCCATATTGCGTATTTTGTTTGTTTGCTATACTTGGCTTGACTGTATGATGATCTGCATCACATCATTTTTGTAGTAATTACATTTTATCCCATGCCAAAAACATGACGTTGAACACTTTGATGTCTCAAAACAATGTCGTGACTGAAATCTTTTCCGTTATTAGTGGCTGGCGTTCCTCGTAGCGGACAGTCCTGGCTCTCTGAGTTCTGTCTGCTTTCGTGAGAAGGACGGTTGAGTGGGAGCGACACTTCATGCCACGCCAAGAAAGCGTGACAGTAATCAGGGAGGTTTCGTTATTAGTGATGAATGCAGAACAGCCTTGGGAATTTCACATGTGTCCGGGGAGAGGGAGGAGCCTATCATTCTAGAGTGAATCCGACGAAAAATAGAGCAATTGGAATTCATTGACTCACACCGGAGAGAAAGCGAGAGAGAAAAGCTTCATGGGTGTGGGCTGAAATGAGTATTATGTCACCAAAAAACGAAGGGAGGAAATCCTGAACAGAGCAGGGTGGAGGAGAAGAGCATTAATTCACATATGTCTTGACGCTGAAATGGGTTAGATCAACAAATCATGGTGCGGGTTAGTTGAGAACTTTGGCTGTCGCTTTTATATCTGTCAGTGTCATTCCCCCAATTTCCCTTGAAACAAGATAGAAATAGGAGTAACTTTGTTGGTCTACCACCAGGTTTTGGAAAACACATCCCTTGAGGCTATTTGAAGCTTGGACAAAAGTTCACAGCTGTATTGTTGCATAATGAAAGATAAGGCTTTGTCTAGAGCTATAATTACGGTTGCTGTTTTCACTTTACTCTTAGACCAAATCTGTCCAAGATTTTCATGATTTCTGCATAAACAGCTCTGAAATCTGTGTTGAATGTTTGTCTTTCACCCAGCGATGATCAGATATCAGGCCAGAGGGGCCGTGACTCAGCTTATACTAAAACAATGGCGCACTAACCACTGGAATGATTAAATGCCCTTGCTAGTGTGCAAAAGAACATTTCACTGAGCCCAGATGTTGGTAGGGGTCGATGCGATCTATCTGCCAAGTGTGAGGTAGAAGCTCTTTCAATCACTACAGGGATGGCCTTCATTCATACAAAGCTTGCTCCAGTTTTCTAGGGCTTTCCAATTGGGGTCTGTAGGAGGTGCTAGCTAGGTGGTCCAAAACAGTTTTAACATGCGTTTGTAGGGCTATCAAAGTTAACAAGGTATCAAGGTTTAACGTGGTTATTATTTAATGCGCTTGATTCTGCTTTTTAAGGTCAGAAATCATGAGATTATTTGCATCTTTGCTGAATAAAAAATAATTAGTTTTCTCTTAAGTTTCATATCTCTTTTCAATGTAATAGTCAAGAGATATGCTGCCATCAATATAGTATTGTATTTTAGTATATTCTTGTTTTTCATATATTTTGGCTTTAGTATACACTCTCAGAAAAAAAAGGTACAAAAGTTGTCACTGGGGCTGTACCTTTTCGAAAGGTACACTTTTGTACATTTTAGGTGCTAATATGTCCATTTCAGGAGCTAATATGTACATTTAGGTACTAATATGTAAATTTTAGGTGCTAAGTACATTTTAGGTGCTAATATGTCCATTTCAGGAGCTAATATGTACATTTAGGTACTAATATGTAAATTTTAGGTGCTAAGTACATTTTAGGTGCTAATATGTCCATTTCAGGAGCTAATATGTACATTTAGGTACTAATATGTACATTTTAGGTGCTAAGTACATTTTAGGTGCTAATATGTCCATTTCAGGAGCTAATATGTACATTTTAGGTGCTAATATGTACACTTAGGTACTAATGTGTACA